ACCTTCATTTTCAAGATTTGCAATTCCATAAACACTATTTCTGTTGAAATTTCCCTTCATGCTAAAATAATCTATTCAAGTCTCCCTCCTGGTTTACCTCAGCCATAATACTTTCTGTAGATTCACAAACCCTCATAGTAAAAATTTCTCTCCCCTACCACGAGCCATTTTCACCTCCAAATTCCCTGAAACAATCTCACCTCAGCCATTCACCCAGACTACTAAGTGGCAGACTCATTCTAGTACTTTATCTGTGTGAAAGTTGAGCACCTATAGTTTAACAAAATTATCATCTTTATCTTACCTATCCGCAGAGCTGTTACATTTCACCATACTAAGAACAGCTCCCATGAGGAAGAACATCAGAATGGGGTCCAGCAGAATATATTGGGACAAAGTAATACAGCCCGTATCTGCAAACAGACACACAACAATGTGAAAAAGGTGAAGTGAATCTAAGAGGGCAGAAAGCCAGTTTCCTCAGTGTAAGTCAAGACAAGGGGAACAAGGGAAATTTTAGAAACAGAAGCAGATCAGAACATTTCAACTTCTACTTGGGTAACAAATGAAAAAGTAACCCTCACAAAAACCAGGCAGTACAACAGTATCGCTGAAACACCATTTGGGAGGTGCTGCTAACATTTTCAGATGGAGAGCGTTACAGACAGCAATGATCTACCTACTAAGGCACCAGCATGGTGCCAGAGGATGCTACAGGAGAAGTAATTTTTCAGATGTTACCTCTAAAAAATTAATATGACTTGGATATTTTAAGTCTCCATGCCTCAATATCTGTGTCTCCTCACAAAACCCCAATTTGGGTAACTCAATTTGCAATGTCAATTTCTCTACTTCGCTCAATTCAAGAAGGAACTTTATTCATTTCTTACTGTAAACTCTTCTGTAGTAATGCAGTAAGCTGTTAATAACCTCTATAATTCATATGGGAGACATCAATATTTCACCAGTGGGCAAAATCATCCCTGACTATGCATCTTATAAAAATTCTTACAATTGAGGCAAAATGTAGTCCAACACAGTGGTTATGCACATAACAGAAGGACCTATAAACTCAACAAGACTGTAAAATTCTCAAGGGGACCACCAATTAAAAAGCCTCACATATATATAAAGCAGAGTTACTTTGCTTTTGAGAACTTCTCTCATTAAGCCAAATATCCCCTAGCTAGGTAACACACGATAATCCAGAAATTAAGTTCTGCGAATAATTAACCTGCACAATTTTGCTGTAGCAGGAAGACCTACCAAAAATAAGGATGAAAGCTGTGAGTAAGGCTGCTGGCAGTGACTTTGACAGTTCCAACACTGTGAGGTAGGCGAAGGGAACCAGGCAGGAGCCAAGGAATGCACAGAACTGCAGGAAAAGAAGATCAGGCAAAGTTATAACCCTCCCCAAGGCGAACATGCACCCACACCCTTTCCCTTCCTTCACCTTCCACACCACCAACAACAGGAGGTGTTCCAGCAGCTGAACCAATCCACTAAGAACATCAGACAAAAGCCAATTGAACAAAGATTAGGACAGCTTCTTACTCTGTTCTGTCTCTAGAAGCGTCAGTAACAACAGTCGGTCATTCTCTTACTAGAGTACATCAGATATTCATAAAAAGATGTGTCAAGTAGGTGCACTACACATCCACCATACTTCACTTATTTTAACAAGATATTAGAATATGAAATTTAAAAACAAAATACCTTACATCTTTAGCAGACCAGTATCACCTCCCCTATACAAATGAGACTGAGGATAGTTGGAGGAGGAAGAACAGAAATCAAAACAAAAGAAAGCAGCGTCACAGTAAAACCTGCTCTCTTCAATGTCTGGTTCTAGCACTTCTCCCACCTTTGGCTCAGAGAAATCCAGAACCACAAATTGCTGGAGACCTGGAAAGTAAACCAAGGAAATATGCCTTCCCAGTTTTTATCCTTCTTTCTAGGCACTAGCAATCAGCCACTGTTTCTTTTTTTGCCTCGTGTTATCTGCTGTCAGTTTTATGGCTGTTGGTCTTCCTAGACAGCACTACAGCCAGGGTTTCAGAGAGAATACCACTCTGAATAGTAATTACACACACACACAGAGCTCCATCAGCTTACTCAGCTCAGCATCACCCATGGTGGCAAACTATAGGTGGCAGTGGATAATCCTGGCTTTTTGACATCCTTGGCTCTCCAGCAGAGCAGCAAAGCGCAATGGAGTGAGCAGAAGCCTAAGCTCAGCAATGTTCCTTTTGCAGAACGGGTAAGATATCTGTCCCATTCAGGACTGTAGTCCCACTAATTAGCAGCAAGGGTTGGCCTCAATAATCACCTTACTTTCTTACCAGGCCTCTCACAGCTAGACATTAAGACTTAATCACAATAAAACCACTAACACGTTTCTGAGGAGCCTAAAGACAAGGCTAAACAGACTTCTGGTCTGATCCAGGAGAGCTGTTCTTACAACATAACACTGTACTGAAAAGCACAGGAGAGCTAACCAGCTTGATGCTAGCCTGTAGAGCCTTACCCCTCTCATTCCCACATAGTTGTGCTGCTCATATTTGTCCCCTGGCTTTTGGAAAGGAAATGTACCATCATATCCACTAAGGTAGCCAGCAAGTCCAATCAGCATCTGAAGAAGAAAGGTGAAAAAACTGGTCAGGGAAATCGCATTGGAGGAAGGAGTATCCAAGCCAGAAGCAAGTCTGATCCCAGAGAACTACTTAATTCAGATGCATCATCCAAACAAGAGTTTATGTACATATTTCATACACATACATATCGCCCTTTGTCTAAAGCCAAAATCAGAAGGGATCAAAAGGACTTTGGCTGCTGCCTCGAAGCATGACTGCAAGCTCAAGAGAAATATCAGGCATGGGATTTAGCAGAGATAATTCTGCCTCTGTAGATTTTCCTTATAGCTCCCTATTCCTATAGTTTAAGGAGACTCAGCCTGAAAGAAAGATAATCTTTCTGAGGCAGGAGTGCTGCATCTTCATCAACACTGCACACTGTTGCTAGAATGAGTTCTTTGATTACAGAATAGTAAGTCAAGGCTTCAAGGGTCCTTTGTGGTAGAATTCTCATTTACACACAAGCCATCAGGAACTGTTTGGTTCCTCTGAACTGTAGGCTTCTTTTAAATATGTCCTACAAACCACACAACTGCCATGTTCATTTTTTAACGTCAAGCCTTTGAAATACCAAACACGCAATGCTGTTTTGTTTTCCCATATTCAAAGCATTTTCGTAAAGAAGAAAAGATGCAAGGTGAGGCTTTGGATAGAGAATGTACATTACCATGACGCTACCAACAGTTGGGAAAGGTATTGGTGTTCATCACATCTTTCCGCCAGAAGGACTGGCAAGACTTTTGCTCGCCCACTCCTGTGGCTTCTAAAACACGTAAGAGAAGAGCAGTTTACCTTCCCCAAAGGGGGATGGACATCAAAGAAGAAGGTCCGATTAATGTAGTAACTTCCCATCTTCCCAAAATGAGTTTCATCCCAACTGAAAAAAAAAAAAAAACAAAACCAAAAACACAAACAACCTGCTATAATGCTGAAGACAGTAAAAAGATCCAGGAAGGTCTTTTTACTCGTGCTTTTCATCATATAGAGGGTGAATGCCATTCTATACAACACATTAAATCCACTGGGAAATCGTGGAGAGTACTTCAGCCATTCTAGGCAGGGTCCCTTTTAAAGAGTGTAATACTAGCACTCCAAAACCCCTAGTCAGCCCTTCTGATGCCAGCTGGGGCTTAGAGATGTTAAAAAAAACAGCCTGCAACCCCCAGATTCCCCAAACCGCCTCCCCCAGACTCGGTCCCCTCTCTGCAACGCGTCCCGAGAGCAGCAGCGAGAGCGGGGCCGGGGCCGGGAGCGGGCTGGCCGGAGGGCACACCGATTCCTCCTGGCTCTCGCTGCCCGGGT